CACGAGAAGATTCATGTAAAAATTAATGACCTGTAATGCCAAGAGTAAGCATTGGAACACGGCAAGTACATTATCAAAACTAAGTTTCTAACCTAATTGAATTCAGATTCATTAGACGGTAAGAAGCCTAGCGAAGGGAAGGTACCAGAGAAGGAGATAAAAGAACTCTCCATGGCAGAAGATGAAATATAAAAATAATCAGTATAAAATGGGAGGAACTAAAAAGGAATGAAATTATACTTTTGAGACATATTAGTAAGAGTCAAGAGAAGGAACTCAAGAAGGAAGTCTGCAATAATGAAAAGGAGTATGTAACCGTATCACACAAAAATATGCAGAAATATTAAATGGAAGTAAATTTTGCTATATATAAATTATACCTCAATTTTAAAATATTAACTCAAAGGAAATATACCAAAACATTAATATTTTATTAATTTTTTAGTGGTGGCACTTCTTTCATTTTTCCTGTATTTTCTAAATTTTATGTAATAAACATGTTAAATTATCATGTGAAATAAAACATACTAGTATTACAAGAATTTGTTTATATATAGTCAGTAGTCATGGGAGGGTGGGCAGGAAGGAAGGCAAAGAAAGAAAATGTAGGGACTGAGCAGTTGGGTAAAGGACCAACTAGAAAATTGGCAAGAATTAAAAGCTAGCTTTAGCTAAATATGTAAGGACACAAGATGACAATTAGGTGAATTTTTGCAGTTATCACTCAAATGAAATAAAGAAAAAGACATATAGTGTACATATAGTGATCAATATATCCCTTTATTTTAAAAATTAAAACAGCTCCTATAAAAATATCACTTGCTGCTTTCTTCCATTCATCAGCTGCACCTAGGGTTTATAAAAACATCAATAAAGACTAGTGAATGAAGTGGTGGATGAAGTGAAGCACAGATGGAGAACAGGGAAATAATGCCAATTAAAGGCAGCAAACAATCAGAATGAACCATCTCTCTCAAGTCCAAGATGCTTTTGTAGTAGATTAAACTAAAAGTTGCTTTACCAACCCCTTATAATTGGGTAGATACCACTATGGTTATGGATAGTAACTGGTCAAGCATAACTTACTTCATCATTGAGCCAGTGAAAGTTCCTCAGGGTCTGGATGTCCCCTCGAGTGATGCGCAATTTGAAAGCACTACTTAGGATCTCATCCTGTGGGCCATGGCCCAGGGCGTTACTGATTTCTTTTTCCATGTCCTAAATTAGAAAGTCCAGAGGTTGCTACTTTAATATAAAGCCACTATCAGAGACTGAAAAGTCTGAGACTGAAAAAGCCAATTTCACCTCTGTTAACACCCGACCCTTGAGAAAATATACCTCAAAGATCTACTAAATTAACGTATGAAAAGATTTAAACTTAGACTACAAAAGTCTTACTAATGGTTATAAAAAATGCTAGCTGAATTATTAGCTTCTGAAAATAATTTGTTAAAATTATTTACATTTAAGGTAGTCTCAAGTATCCCACTGCCATTTATTGAGCATTATGGGCCAAACATGGTACCAGATGCTTGAAGCACATCATTGATCCCTGCCTCTGGGGAAAATAAATTTTATGGAAAAGGCAACACTCACAGAATTTAGGTTACGTGCTCGAACTCATGGATTATTAACAGGCAGAGCCACGATTTGAACCCAGGAGTGGCTAACTTACTAGCCTTTGCTCCTTTCAAAATACTTTATTAAGAGTATCTTCATACTTTCTTTATTTCCCTCCTAAACTATTATTTAACTACATCAGAGTAATAAAATTAGGACACCTAAGAGATCACACTATTCATCTTGGATATGAGAGTAAGCAGACAGAAACTGGGAAACTAGGCAGCAGTCTAACCCTGAGTCCTTAGTGAATAGATGGCTTCATCTAAAAAATTATGCAGATAAATACATATTTAAGCTACAAGACCGAATCTATAAACCCAACAGAAATTATTTCAGACCAATATTGTTAATAATGCTTGTCCCTACTGCACACAATTTTGTAATTTTATGGCTCTAACAGGCAGAAACTGGGAAACTAGGCAGCAGTCTAACCCTGAGTCCTTAGTGAATAGATGGCTTCATCTAAAAAACTATGCAGATAAATACATATTTAAGCTACAAGACCGAATCTATAAACCCAACAGAAATTATTTCAGACCAATATTGTTAATAATGCTTGTCCCTACTGCACACAATTTTGTAATTTTATGGCTCTCTCGCCACCTGCATGCCCAATATATAGTAAGTGCTCAAGAGGTAATCACTGAATAGGGCTGACTACCACCTACTAAGATGACAATGAAGAAGGAGCCAATAAAGAGTAATAATATATCTAAATTGAACTTAAAAGTTTAAGGAAGACCTAGACTTTAAAGTTTGTACCTTTAACAAATTGAGGATTGAGTTTTAAAAATAAAAGTAGCTCTCTATATTCTTTCTATGCAAAGGTAGGTTCCTTGAGATTACCAAAAATGACCCGTTACTCTATTACAGGCCCGGCACAGATCCTGGATGTCTTGTCTGTACATGTGTTCACTGGCTCCCACTGCCAGGTAGCTTGCCCCTGGAAGACAGCTGGCTAAGAGAGGGAGTAGAGGCAGCTCTCTTTTTTCTCAGGGCATGCTGTTCCTGTGCTTGGAGTTGGGGCAAAAGGACTGAGAGCTACCAAGACAATAGGAAAGCAAAATGTGAGACTAGACTGCAGAGTAAGAGGAAACTAAAAAACTCTAGGTACCAAAGGTGGCAGAACCTGTGAGCACACCTTCAGAAGAGGATTGTTACTTTTGCATGAAACCAGTGGGATTATTGCCTCATTATATAGACGAGAAAACTGAGACTCAAAGAAGTTCAATGACTTGCCATGATCTCATGCTAGTCAGAGGCAGAGATGAGACTGGGGGTTGAATCCTCTAAAAACTCCTAGTACAGGTCTTTTCAGAGTGTTTAAAAACATCTTTATTGTTGAAAGTATTAC